AAACTAAAAAGAGTAAGTAGGTAACTCAATCCTCCCACTACTTAATAGGTCTCTGCTTGTGCCCCCAAATCTCGATTTATCCTTTTATGCATTCAGAGGGAAATGGAGACAAAGACCCATCTACATTCTCAAACTTTCCTTTTACAACTTTATCTGTTTTTATATTTATCTACTTTTGTTTTATTTTTACCTCACACCCATCTTTTATTGTTTCCCTCTTACAATAACTAAGAACGTTTTTTTATATTTTAAGCACTTTCATATTTTCATGCCAGTGAAAATTAGTTGTACTCTCCTCAAATTTAATTCTTTTTTTAAAAAGATTGATTCAGTTACAACATAGCACAATATTATTTTTGTTTTTATAGTTTTAATACATTATTAAAATAATTTTCAATTAGCTACAAAATTCTGGACCAACGGATGATTTTAATATATATAAATAAGTTTTAAAGAAACCAATATTATATTTTATAGAATAATACTTAAAAGAATTAAGGTAAATGTTCCGAGATTCTTCTTCATATACTCTATCTTAATATATTTATATAAATGATGTAAAATTCTCCTCCATATTTCCTCTATTAAAATGATTATGATATTGTATTAAATTTTAACTTAAAATTAATTAATATTGAAATTAGATGAAACAATTAATAAATATATAAATCATATTTTGAAAATTGAGATAATGATTTGAAATTTTTTAAAAATAAATTGTACTGATAGTTTATAGTTATATATTTTTTAAAGATAAAATCATATTATTATAATAATAAGATAAAATTAAATACATTAACACGTAATAAGCCTATTTTATAATATAGATTAATCACTTATTAAATTTTAATAGTACTAGAACCTACCAACATAAGGTTTGTTAGCTTATTATTAGACTTTTATTAGATCATCCTTCAATATTTTATTTTGTGTTCGTACATATATCAATTTTCCATCAGTCTATTAAAGATTTTACTAAATTAAAAAATATAATATATAAATAATCGCTGAAAAATTTTTAATTATAGTAATATAAATATTTATCACTAAAAATTATAAATTGTCACTAATAACTAATCTAATTAACAATATTTTTAAATAGTACTAAAATTAAACTTGATAGTGAAAAAAGTATTTAACACTAATAATTATATATAATAGTAATAATAATAAATTTATCATTATTAAAAATTTATAAAAAAATTAATTATTGCAAAATTTTTAAAAATAATTCTCATATATATATATATATATATGAATATAAATAATAATTAATTATTTATTATTATTTTAATATTAATCTTTATTGTAATTATTAGTTTAAAAAATATATATTTAAAATAATTTTTGTATGACCAAAAAATCATTTTTAACTATATTAAATTTATAGTTATTAGTTTTCAAGAAAAAAAAGTTGTTTCATTGTCTATGTAAGCAATATAATACTAATATAACTTTTTATTTAAAATAATCATATAAAAAACTCGAACACAATTGAGATAAAATATATTAGGTTATATGAAATTTTATGAGAAAATGACAAATTATTGTTATAATTTACACTATCTTAGGAAGCGAATAATTATTGTTATTTATTTAAAAATAAATAAATAAATAAAAGTCTTTAATATAAGAAGTTGAATATAAAACTAAATTAATTCAACCAATATGATGTCATCATATTTCAATTGAATATATCTATTTTATAGATTATTAATAATTTTGTCATGTATGAAAATCTATAAGATAAACTGCTAAAGATTTTTTTTATTCTTACTGTGATTAAGTTTACTTAACAAGAAAAAATTATCATATAAAAAGTCATGATTTTTTTTAATTGGTTATTCTTTGAAAAATAATAAAAAACCTTTAATAGCACTTCTTAAACAATTATTTAGAAATGATATAATTCAATAATATGTATTTTAAAAAATAACAATAATTAGATCAAATTAAATAATATGTTTTTATTAAATGTCAAATTCAAATAATTATAATTAATTGTAAATATTGTTATATTTTATCTTATTTATCTATATTATTGTTAAAGATAATAATAATAATAATAATTAATAACATTATTAATAATTAATTTTGTTCCTTAAAAATATGATTAAACGTTTAATCCAAAATATTGTTATTTTTATACTATTTAAATAATTTTTTCAATTTTAATATTAAAATTGTTAACTGAATTAAATATAAAATTAAGGTAAAATATATTTTTTATTTATTGATTTTTTTTTCAATTTAAGCATTACAAATAATATAATTTATTAAAAATATAAAACTAAGTTAAACTCAAAACCATGGTTTTATAAGTATATTGTAAAGGTGTCAAATAATTACATTAACATTTTTAGCTTATTTATTTAAATAATTGATTAAAATGGGAGTTTAAATTAAAAATAAGACAATTTTAATATTTTATTTGTCATTAAAAATAAATATATAAATAATAATAATTTTTAATTTAATCATTATTCAAAATAATATTTATAATAAATATATATATTTTTATTATTTTTTATGTATTATAGTGACAATTTTAAATTTAATCACTCATGTGTGGATAATATTTGTGAAAAATATATTGTTTTTGCCACTTTTAATCAAATTATAGTGATAATATTTAATTTAGTCACTATTATAAATAGTATTTAAATAAATTAAAAACTAGGAACAAATATAATATATATATATATATATATATATATTTATATTTACAGATTTTATATTTATCACTTTATTTTTGTCATTAAAAATTATTATGTAATATGTTTTACAGAATAAATGGTATAAAATGAATTCAACCTTGTAAGGAATTAGAATGTCTCATATTTCTTAAAGTGTGTAAACACTCGAGATTATTATTTTAGACGTTTCATCAACTATATATAAAAATAACTTCAAATAATAATCAAAGAATTTATTAATAACTTAAATTAAAATGATAACAAACTAACATAACTATTACATATACATTAATGGACGAAGTTATTCTGACATCGAAAAAGTTATTTCCACAACTCTAGGTCAATTTCAAATTTATATATATTTTTTGCAACTTCACTATATTTTTGTACTGATGTACCCTTCCAATAAATGATTTTTATTCATTTAAATTTTATACGAATATTAAAGATTTATAACGATGTATTTTTCAACCAATCAGTTTTTACACTTTTGACAAAATCATAATTTTACATATTTTATATCAGTTAAAATAAAATATAATAAATGTCAAATATTATATATCGGTTATTTAGTAATGCATGTATTAATTAGTGACTGTCGCATTTGCTTTTAGTTTTTTTTTTACAATCTAAAAATTAATGTATATTTTTCTTTATAATATTTTATCTAAGATTTTAAAACAATGGATGAGTTAGATGGTACCTTTATACATTCTCAGTAAATACTAATGAATTTAAATATAAATATAAAAAACTTAAAAATAAAAATTTTTCATATACTTAATTATAATTTTATCAAAATTAATAATAAAAAACTCAACAATGTACAAACGTTGTAGTTATACTTCAATTTTTTTCTCAATTCTTTGTTGCTGTATTACAATTAAGTGATGAAAAAGGTTAATTTTAATATTTATAGAATTAATAAGTTAAATCAAATTAGATTTTAAAATAAAATAAAAATAACATATTCTTTATAAATTTTGCGAATAGGATTTTTTTTTCTTGTTCCCCACAAAATTACTGTACCCTACAGTTACTGGTGTCTCCGACTAGTGCTCCATCTTTTGATGCCTTTTACCTGTTTGTTTATTTGTCACACACGAAATGAGAGCCAGAGCGGTGACCAACCAAGCATCTACAATGCCATTTTCATTACCTGGTTGGTTGCTTGGTCTACCCATGCCCCTTAGACGGCTTAATTAATTTTTTCAATCCATCATGGGAACCTCTCATACGTCACCACATACCCTAAGGTTGGATATTCTATGATATTAGTTGTTTATGATTCATAATTAGTGATAATTTCGAATGATCATAGGATATTAAAAAAATAAAAGTACTCAATCGCTCAAGAAAGTTAATCAAGTGTCTCAATTAGCAAAATATACTTTATGCATTAATATAATGAAAAAGTTTGGGACAATAACTGGGGTGTCAGCCAACCAGAGTCACACAAGACCAAATAAAAATTGAACTAGGGACTCCTACCCTAAAAATAAAAAAACAAAGCACTAGGACTGCAAAATAATAAAATACCGAGCCATAATTACAACACAATCAAAACTAGCTAGATGGGCATTTATATTTTGATTATTATTTCGAATTTGATATATAAAAAAATGTTTTCTTTTACATTAGATTCTATAAAGACATCATAAACCATCAAGATAATACAAGGAAACAAAAATTGTTAATGTATAAGGTATTTGGTGTATCTATGTTATTTTGACAGTTTAATTATCGTTTATAAGGGGTTAATCGTTTTAAAGTTTTAATTTATTAAGATATTATTTTTAAAAAACATTTAATAAATTGAAAGAAAATTATGTATATAAATTATATATATATATATATATATATATATATTTATTGATATATTTAAGTGTTTAAATAAAAATAATTTATATATATATTTATTAAGATGTCTTTAAATATATAATTTAATTATATAAAATTGACTAAATAAAATTAGAATTCTATTATATATATTATTATTTTTTAATTAATGTGACATTTTATTATATTTTCTCATTTAAGAGAGATTTTTGTTATTAAACAAATTATAATAAATTATAATTTTAAATTTTTAAAATAAATAATACTTTTATAATATTATTATATATATATATATATATATAATAATAATAATAATAATAATAATAATAATAATATATAATCCCAGGTTAGGTTCATTCATATAGGTGCATGATGGTACTTGATTACAGGCAGGGTTTTCTTTGAAAAGAAGGAAGAACACACTTACCCATCTTGGGTGTAAAAAAACAAAAGAAAATTTACGAACTACGAAGAATTGTTCTTCAAAAAGCATGAGACCAAACCAGTTGTGATTCGGAAACCCAGAGGGAATGATAACTTATTTTTTAACCACCGAATGACCATGATACTGTCAAGTGCTCCTGCTAGGGGGTAAGTTTTGGAATATAATAGTCCAAATGCTTTCAAAGTCTAGAAATATTTAAAGGGATAAGACTTGAAAGAGAATAAAAGAGAATTTATTCTAAAAAAATAAATTCTGAAGAAATCAAATTTAAACATTTTTTATACAAGAAAATAATAAAAATTGAAATAAACTTTACTTGTATTTTTTAATTAAGGTGTTATTTAAAAATACATTTTTTTTAATTTTAAATTACATTATCGTTTCACGATGGATGAAAATATAATTATTTCACATATAAATCAATGGAGAGTAATCCTAAACTAATCTTTTGGAGGATTTTTTTTCCTATGTAATTTTTCATGTCACTTGTAACTAATGGTGTGTAACTATAGTTGATGTTTTGAAAATAATATTTTCAATATACTCGTAATAGTTTTATAATTTTATATTTTTTAAGTTTTATAGTTAATAATAAATTTAAAAACTTACTGTTATCTACTAAATTAGGAGAAAAATAAAACAGTAAATAAGTTAAAGTGTAAATAAATATTAATTAATTATTACCTACGAAAAATAAGTAATTTTTTTAGATTAATAACACTTAAGTATAATCTGAAAATATAATATTAAGAAGACAGAGTATAATTTACCCGAAAATTAAGGAAAAGGAAAATCATTTTCCATAAATAGTCTCATTTGGGATATTAATATACATAGTGAACTTATTTATCTTCTCATAAGAAAGGTGTGTTTTGATATATATATATTAGTTTAGAAATTGAAATCATGAATAAATTGTATTTTTAATCTCTTAGTAGTGATTCTTATACACGTTATTGATAGACCGGATTTACACATTCACAAAATATTGACAATCTATTACAATTTCTCGTACATCACTTACACTTTTTTGGATATTTATAATTAATTTATTATCATTAATTTAAAAAAAAATATTTCTAAAATCATACTTCAAAATAATTTAAAATATATTTTAAATAATAATATAATTTATTCCATATATAACTAAAATATATATTTAAAATAAAATAATTTATTTAATATATCTTAAGATATTATAAATTAAGATAAATATTTTAAAATTTATAAATAACTTGTGTACTTAATTAGATAATATTTTTATAATAAATATTGTAAAATTTTATTATTTTAATAAATAATTAACTTTTATTTTATATTTAATAAATTATTGGGTCCATTATCACTCAATCAACTATTTTTCATTTTAATAAATAAATTAATGAGTCAACGTTCATAATATTAATATTTTTATATATATATATATATATATATATATATTAATTTAAATTATTTAAATATAAAATTCATATTTTTTTTAGATCTAGACTAATTATATTATCACTAAAAATAAATATTTAAAGATATTTTAAATTATTTTGAAGTATAATTTGTTTTCAAAAATATAATATTTTTTATTTTAAATAACGTGTAAGGAATAAATTATATTATTACTCAGAAATAAACTTTAAATATATTTCAAATTATTTTAAAGTATGATTTTTTTTTTCAAAAATTTAATCTAATTTTTTTTATTTTAGATAACTTGTGAGAAAATATTTAAATAGAGAAAAATGAAGAATGGGTGAGAGAAAACTATAATAATGAAAAAAGATATAAAAATATCAAGTAAAATACAATAAATTATTTAATTTTAAGTGATTACGTATAAATATGATTTATTAACGAATATAGTATTAAAATTACTCCATTTTTAAAGATGACATTACAATTAATTAAAATTTTAAAACAAATAATAATTTAGATATGATAATAAATCACAATCATATTATTTAAGATAAAAATACTTTTATTTCTAAAATAAATGCTAATACTAATCATGAAGAGGAGAATAAAATTTCACATATTTTCTTTATATATGTCATGTATAATGTTTTGAGATCATGTATAGTATGTTAAGATCGTACAGAGCAGATTAAAAAAGTAATTCAAAATTATCTCCTATATTTATTCACTTGTTGTGTTGTGTGTTTAGGTTACTTTATTTTAAAGAGTTTTAAATATTTTTGAAAGGTAATAAAAAAGTTTATTTATTTGTTTTTTCTAAGTGGTCCTTGATGGTTACACTTCAAGGTGATGATGGTCTTGATTTATCTATCTACACAATCCAACCCATGCCATCTTAAATATCAAGTTGACCCAAGACACATTTATGTAATTAGCAAAGTTTCCTTCTTTCCTTTTCAGTTAAAACGAGAGCATCCAAGGGATGTGGACTTGATTCTTTCTCTTTGAAATCAATATCCAAACAAATCAGAGTCAAGCCTACTATTATCTACCTTTTTCATTATTTAATTTCTCTTTAATCTTTTAAAATTATTTAATTTGAAATCAATATAAACACTCGAATTAACATTATTTTCCTGCAAGTGATGGGGTGGAATATGACATTTTACTCTATTATAAGAAAGACACCAAATAGGTAATAGTGAAATACATTATACATAAATACACTCAAAATGGTGTCAAATATACTTTAAATTTGAGAAATAAAGAGATAAATGTTTAAATTATGCATATTTTTTCATAAAAGAATAACTTATATGTCCTTGTTGTTATAATAACTGATATACATATACTACTAAGTAGTAGCAATAAACCTCCGTGATTGTAGTCATTAAAATGGGATATATTCTAATATTGCAATCTTGGACAAATTGGATAGCTCAATGCTAGCATAGCAATAGCATTATTGGGGTTTAAAGATTAACCCAAAGTTTGTTTCTTCAGTTGGGGAACGCAAGAAGTTTCATTTTTTTAATTTTTTACATCATGATTTTCCCACCTCAATCCTCAATCATGTCCAATGAGTATTATAGCTATCCAGAAACAGTGTACCACTATAAAAACCAAACTAAACCAAAGTAGTACTATGTTGTTGTATTGTAATGTAATTTTACACCAACGTTGTTGACGCGAGCATGATGTCAACTCGCACTAGTTCATGGATCATGGCCACTACTCTCTCCTCAAGTTCCAACCCCACTGCCACAGTTTCACTCTCTCTCTCTCTCTCTCTCTCTGACTAACCAAACAAAACAACATAACACAAAATGTTGGGTTATTGGGCTCCCTTCCTATGTGGAGAATAGGCCCAAATAGTGTGGTCCATTATGTCTCATTTGGGTAAAATGAGATGGGTCAGATTAGTAGAGGACAAGAGAGTCATTTGAAAAAAGACAAAAAGTCTAGTGAGAGAAAAAGAAAGAGAGAAAGTCATCTCCGCATAACCCTAATTCTGCACTGGTGTTTTCGTCGCTGTGAAGTCGTTCACCGTTGGATCGAGCTGATTTTTGGATAGTAGGTTCCAGACATATGGTTCTTCATTCTGACCGTTCGGATCGTCAATCGAAGGTCTAGATTGGGAGAAATTGGTCCCGCACCAGCAGCCCTGTTTTGGAGATTTTTCATCTTCTTTGTTTCTCTTTTGTAAGCATTTGTGCTTAGTTAATTCTGCTTATTGAAAATACCTTTTGGTATTATTATTGGAGACTCTTGTGTACCCCATTATTGATCATAGTGGATTTTTCTTTGGTCTGGACTGACTCGTGGTTTTTACCCTTGCATTGAGGGGTTTTCCACGTTAAAATTGTTGGTGTCTCTTTGCGCTTTGGATTCTATTTGTTTGGTGCTCCTCGCTGATTCTCGCAAGAAGGGGATTGAATTTCCGCTGCATTATTACTCTTTGTCAAGTTGTTATATTTGTTTTTTGGCCTTTTTTTATACCATCGAGTGGTATCGAGCTCTTAGGTTAAGGATCGTTTAATTTGCGTGAATGATGGAGGCACATACAAAATTGATTCCGTTGAATGGAGAAAATTATCACTTATGGAAAGGCAAGATGAAGGATTTGTTATTTGTGAAAAATTTGCATCTTCCCGTTTTTGCTTCCAATAAGCCGAATCCAAGTCAGATGAAGAATGGGATTTTGAACATCAACAGTGTATGTGGATTTATCGTGCAGTTTGTTGATGATAATGTTTATAATTTTGTTGCTAATGAGACACATGCGAGAAGCCTATGGGATAAGCTTGAGTCCTTGTATGCTTCTAAGTCGTGGACTAATAAATTGTACTTGCTGAAAAATTTTGTGGAGTTGAAGTACAAGGAAGGAACTCATGTTTCAAATCACTTGAGTGAATTTCAAGGACGCTATGATCAATTAGCTGGAGTGGGTATAAAATTTGATGATGATCTATTGGGCTTATTCCTATTAAACTCTTTACCGGATTCGTGGGAGACATTTCGGGTTTCCATGATAAGTGCTACCCCTAATGGTGATATTTCTTTGCAAATGGCAAAGAGTGGTGCTCTTAATGAGGAGATGAGAAGGAAGACACGAGGTACTTCATCTCATTCGAAGTGCTTATTACAGAGAATAGGGGAGAAACCAAAAGAAAGAACAAAACAAGTGGTAGAGATAAAAGCAGGAGCAAGTCCAAGTCTCGGTACAAGAATGTGGAGTGTCACTATTGTCACAAAACAGGACATATAAAGAAAAACTGCTTTTTGTGGAAGAAAGAGAGCAAAGACAAAAAGGGTAAGCAAAGAGAAAAAGATAATGATGATGGTGATCGTGTTACTACTACTACATGTGGTGACCTTGTTTGTCTTCGTGATTATGACACTATTAGTCTTGTATCCGATGAGAGCATGTGGATAATTGATAGTGGTGCTACACCGCATGTTACATCCAGGAAGGAGTTCTTCACATCTTATACACCTGGTGATTTTGGAGTATTGAAGATGGGTAATGATGGGGTGTCTAAAGTTGTTGGTGTTGGTGATGTTCACTTGCAAACCAACATGGGGATGCAGCTTGTTGCTTAGAGGAGTTAAACATGCTCCGAGATGTTCGCTTTAACTTGATCTCTGTGCGTGTACTTGATGATGGTGGATATTATAACCATTTTGGTTCTGGAAAGTGGAAGCTCACCAAAGGTAACTTGATTGTGGCTAAAGGGGAGAAAACTCTAAGCTTTATCGGACAAAAGCTTTGGTTGCTAAAGATAGTGTGAATTCGTGTATATGGAGTCATCTTTGTGGCACGTAAGGCTTGGGCACATCAGCTGAAAAGGGGCTTAACCGCTTATTTAAAAAGGATGTTCTCTCAGGATTGAAGAATGTAGATTTGGAGAAATGTTCTCATTGCATGGTCGGTAAACAAACCAGGAGTATCCTTCAAGAAGCATCCTCCCTCCAGGAAGTCGAGTTGCTTGAATTGGTGCATTCCGATGTTTGTGGCCCATTGAAGGTAAAGTCTTTTAGTGGTGCACTTTACTTTGTTACCTTTATTGATGATTGTTCCAGGAAGCTTTGGGTTTATGTACTACGGAGAAAGGACCAAGTGTTGGACAAGTTTAAAGAATTCCATGTTTTGGTTGAGAGGCAGTCGAGCAAGAAGCTGAAACGCATTCGTATCGACAATGGTGGTGAGTATTGTGGACCATTTGATGCTTATTGTAGACAATATGGTATTGCACATGAGAAGACTCCTCCTAAAACTCCTCAGCTGAATGGTTTAGCGGAGAGGATGAACAGGACATTGATTGAAAGAGTTAGGTGTATGCTTTCTGAAGCAAAATTGCCTAAGCATTTCTGGGTGAGGCATTGTTTACAAGCAGTGCATGTTATTAATCTAAGTCCTGCAGTTGCTTTGAACTCGAGGTGCCGGACAAGATTTGGTTTGGCAAGAATGTTACTTATGATCATTTACGTGTCTTCGGTTGTAAAGCATTTGTTCATGTTCGAAGGATGAAAGATCCAAGTTGGATATGAAGACAAGGCAATGCATCTTTATTGGTTTTGGTCGGGATGAATTTGGCTACAAGTTGTATGACCCCGTTGAAAAGAAAGTTGTTAGAAGTCGTGATGTGCAATTCATGGAAGATCAAACCATTGAAGATATTGATAAGGAGAAGAAGTCTACACCTAAAGGAAATGGTAATGTGGATGATGTTGATCCAATTCGATTGTCTATTAATGATTTGGATATTGATGCTCATGATGATGAACAACATGGTGATACCGATAATCAACAGAGTTGAAGATAGCTTGGATGTTCCTATTGATAATGTTGATGAAGAGGAACATGATGTATCACATGATGAGAGTCTTGGTGATATACCCGAGCTACCGAAACTCAACCTAGAAGATCCGACAGGCCAAGACAACCTTCTAAGAAGTACTCTACCAATGAGTATGTGATGTTGATCGATGAAGGAGAACCCGAATGTTATGAGGAGGCCGTTGAAAGTGAAGAAAAGCAAAAGTGGTTGGATGCAATGCAGGATGAGATGAAATCGCTGCATGATAATCACACTTATGACTTGGTGAAGTTGCCTAAGGGTAAGAGAGCCTTAGAGAACAGGTGGATCTTCAGTGGTGAAGCAAGAGAGCAATTCTACATCTACCGGATATAAAGCCGTATTAGTGGTGAAAGGCTTTAGACAAAGAAAGGGTGTTGACTTCAATGAGATTTTCTCACCTGTGGTGAGGATGACATCTATCCGAACCGTGTTAAGTTTAGTCGCTACTCTTGATTTGGAAGTTGAGCAGATGGATGTGAAGACAGACCTTCCTTCATGGTGATTTGGAGGAAGAGATTTACATGAAGAAGCAACCTGGATGGTTTTCTTGTTGAAGGCAAGGAAGACTATGTGTGTAAGCTACGAAAAAGCCTATATGGTTTGAAGCAAGCTCCAAGGCAAGTGGTATAAGAAGTTTGAGTCTGTATGTGTGAGCAAGGCTACAAGAAGACTACTTCGACCATTGTGTTTTTGTCGGAAATTTTCTGAGAATGATTTCATTATCCTGTTGTTATATGTTGATGACATGCTTATTGTTGGAAAAGATGTTTCCAAAATTGACAGGTTGAAGAAGCAATCTGGCAAGTCATTTGCCATGAAAGACATGGGAGTCGCTAAGAAGATTCTTGGTATAAGTATCACTCGTGATAGAAAAGAGAAGAAACTTTGGCTATCACAGAGCACTACATTCGAAGGTGTTGCAAAGATTCCAAATGGAGAATGCTAAGGTTGTAAGTACTCCTCTTGCTACTCATTTTAAGTCGAGTGTTAAACAAAGTCCTTCAAATGAAGTTGAGAAGATAGCTATGAGAAAAGTTCCTTATGCTTCTGCGGTGGGTAGTTTGATGTATGCAATGGTATGTACAAGGCCTGATATTGCACACGCTGTTGGTACAGCTAGCAGATTTCGTCAAATCCAGGTAGAGAGCATTGGAATGTCGTGAAATGGATTTTGAGGTATCTTCGTGGTACTAGAGGTTTGAGACTTTGTTTTGGAGGTGATAAGCCTACTTTGGTGGGTTACTCAGATTCGGATATGGCTGGAGACATTGATTCCGGAAAGTCCACTTCAGGCTATTTGATTCGGTTGCAGGGGAGCTTTGGCTTGGCAATCAAAGTTGCAAAAGTGTGTGGCGTTGTCTACTATCGAGGCGAGAATTCATTGCACTTATCGAAGCATGCAAAGAGTTGTTATGGGTGAAGAAATTCTTGCAGGAGCTTGGTTTTGTGCAAGATAAATACTTGTTGTATTGTGATAGTCAAAGTACTATTCATCTTGGTAAGAATCCAACTTTTCATTCTAAATCCAAACATATTGATGTGAGGTATCATTGGATACGTGATGTTTTGGATGCTAAGTTGGTGGAACTAGCTAAAGTTCATACAGATGATAATGGTGCTGATATGATGACCAAGGCATTGCCAAGAGGAAAGTTTGAAGTTTGTTGTGAGATCGCTGGCTTGGCGGATATCTCCACATAGTCGTGAGGGGAGATTTGTTGGGTTATTGGGCTCCTTCCTATGTGGAGAATAGGCCCAAATAGTGTGGTCCATTATGTCTCATTTGGGTAAAATGAGATGGGTCAGATTAGTAGAGGACAAGAGAGTCATTTGAAAAAAGACAAAAAGTCTAGTGAGAGAAAAAGAAAGAGAGAAAGTCATCTCCGCATAACCCTAATTCTGCACTGGTGTTTTCGTCGCTGTGAAGTCGTTCACCGTTGGATCGAGCTGATTTTTGGATAGTAGGTTCCAGACATATGGTTCTTCATTCTGACCGTTCGGATCGTCAATCGAAGGTCTAGATTGGGAGAAATTGGTCCCGCACCAGCAGCCCTGTTTTGGAGATTTTTCATCTTCTTTGTTTCTCTTTTGTAAGCATTTGTGCTTAGTTAATTCTCGCTTATTGAAAATACCTTTTGGTATTATTATTGGAGACTCTTGTGTACCCCATTATTGATCATAGTGGATTTTTCTTTGGTCTGGACGACTCGTGGTTTTTACCCTTGCATTGAGGGGTTTTCCACGTTAAAATTGTTGGTGTCTCTTTGTGCTTTGGATTCTATTTGTTTGGTGCTCCTCGCTGATTCTCGCAAGAAGGGGGATTGAATTTCCGCTGCATTATTACTCTTTGTCAAGTTGTTATATTTGTTTTTTGGCCTTTTTTTTATACCATCACAAAACACACTTCTCTCTCTAGACTCTATCTGCATCTGACTCCCGACACTGTTGCAGAACCCGACAAAAGCAAAGCAACCTCTGCCTCCTCCCTTAGCAGTTCTCACCTCTCACTCTCTCCTCTTCAGTGGCTCTTCCCGTAATATAACCCAAAACTTTTCCTCTTTCTGAAGCCACACACACTTCTCCCACTTCCATTTATTTTTCTCACAAATGGAAACCCACCAGAGGGAATGATATCACAGTTCCACACGCCCAACCTCTTCATCTTCAACCTTAACTCATCTTAACTCCCCAATTTCTCTCTCCTTCTCCTCCAAGCGATACCACACAGACACACTCTCTGATGGAGAAGACGATGTCTCTCTACAAGCTCGAAGCTCGTGGCATAATTTAGACACTTTTTTTACAAGTCTTTACTTTGCTCCCTCTTTCTCTTTTTAGATTACTTTCCTTTCTATTGTTTCTACAACTTCCTCTGCTGGAGGATGGCATGCCGGAAACTGGTCGTTGGGAACTTGGATCCGCAGAGAAAGCGAAGTGGGGGGTTGAGGACGAAACAGGCGGGGAGAGGATCGTGCCGTGGTAGTTAGGACCCAAAATCTAAACTCGCCGGAAAATGCGTGCTTTCCGGCTTTGATAATTGCCCTTTTGTGTTTTTCTGTTCGTGCATGCTGTTGTTCTTCCATTATTAGGTCGGAGAGAAGAAAAAAAAAGAAAGAAAGAAAATTATCGGGTGCTTTGAGATGGGGTTTTTGTTGAAAGAAGCTTTGAGGACTGTCTGCGGTCGGAATCAATGGTCTTATGCTGTGTTCTGGAAGATCGGTTGCCACAATTCTAAGTAAAAAGTTTTTTTTTTTTTTAGTTTTTGGTTTCTGCATCTTTGGTTTGGGTTTTGGGGGGATTTAAACAAAGGATAATGCAATGTTTTTGCTTGTTTCATCTTCTTTGTGTTATGTGTGCCCTATGTTTTATTTTTGGCTTGATGGAAAGTAACCTGGGATGGAGTGAAAATTTTGTGTGGAAATTCTGTTTTTTTAAATTTCCGAATCAACTTTGTTGAGTTACTTGTTTTGTTATACGTTTGCTTTTGGTGCTTGTATTTTATCAGGACCGCTTATAGGGGGAGAACTCATACGGAAATCATGTCCATATTAGATTCTGGTTTTCTGGGGATGATTTGTTTCCAACATATGACGGACATGTTAGGGTCTTATTTACGGGTCACTGCTTCTTTTTATTTGATTCGTATTCGTGTCCTGCGATATACTCTTTTCTACTTTGGAACTTTGTGCCTTGATTACTTCTGTTTTGTCTTCAAGAATCTTAGTTTTCATACATATAATATTTATTTTAAAAGAAGTTTATTTGCCACCGGTTTGCCAACGGGTGTTGGATTATTGGTCTGTGATTCGCCACACGAATCTGCTAATTCGGCATTTGTCTGTCTTTTGATTCGGTTTGGCTTTATTTACTTTTCCCCTGATAAAAAGCTTTTATTTTTTTTAGTTTAATCAGTAAATGAGCGGTTTATTTGCTGATCAATTTTGTCATGCAAAAAACTTAATAAAAAATGTCTCTCTATTTCCTTCTGTTGGTTCTCTAAGCCTTTTCTTTTGTTTATTGAGTAAATATGTGCAAGTAGTCCGTTGATCTCACATCCCAAAATTGAGTTTGAATTATGAAACTTATGACTCTGTGCTGATTGCTGCTGATGAAATATCTTTGTTTAAGCTAGTTGATTTACTTGCGTATGGTTTGATTTGGCAGGTTATTAATCTGGGAAGAGTGCTATTATGAACCTTTGCCATGCCCTCCTCCGATGTTTGGGATGGTAGATTTGCCTTATCAGTCATTTCAACTCGGGATTGAAGAAGAGGACCCAGTCAAGTCTTTGATTAACAAAATGACTGCAAACAATTCAGTTATCATTGCAGGTGAAGGGTATGTGCTTTCTGTCTTCGCGTATCTGTACATTTCATTCAGGTTTCCACAAAATTTTGAACTGATTTTGTAGTTTATCCCATGTTACTACTCAACTGCTGTTTTTTCTGCTATTCAGTATGATTGGACGGGCTGCATTTGCAGGCAGCCATCAGTGGATTCTCTTCAATAGTTTCGCAAAAGATGTATATCCACCAGAGGTATGAATTTGATTATTGTCTTCTAGTGGTTAAATACATTTTTTTTTTGTAGGGAAGCTTAAAGATTTGGAGCATTTATACTTGTGAACTTTGTTTTGATTTCTATATTTGTTCTCCCTTTTCAGTTCTACACTGAACTGCATCACCAATTTTCAGCTGGAATACAGGTTTGTGATTTAATTATGCTCCACGTCTTGTTATAAACTTTGTATTACTCTTTCGTGATGCCCTATCATATTGTTTTGCAGACAGTAGCAGTTATTCCTGTACTTCCTCATGGGGTTGTTCAACTTGGTTCCTACTTGCCTGTAAGTCCTTCTGTATTGTTCTGTTATTCTGGAGAGATGTAACGTAACATAATATCTAAAAATGATTTCATCGTGCTAGAGCACTGAATTATGGTGAGATAGCACTGAATTATGGTGAGAGGACGGAGAATCTTACCTTGTAAATATATGGATCAAGAGTGAACGTTCTAGATTAACTTCAGGACTTAAAATTTGCTCTTCACTTTAGGATCACAGGAATGTAATCCATTGAATAAATTTAGGATATCTAGTGTTGAAAGTTGAGGCATTGATGGGTGAGTTATTTCAATCACACATTCCCGATTTTATATAATGCACTCTATATAAAATCTATGTGATCTGAGCGGATGTCCTTTGGTGGTTCCAGATTACATTTTGGGTCAGTGATTAGTGAATAACTTCTAATGCAAGCAGTTTGAAGCTTGCTCAAGATTACGTTCTGTTTTGTTTTATGGTTGAGTTTTGCAGATAGACTATTGCTAGTTTATATTAGTTTGCATTAGTGATTGTGACATCACTTAAGAACCTTTCCTATCTGCTGTTCCAATGTCCGTCAACTAATGCACCTATATTTGATGACACAGATAATTGAGAATATGGGATTTGTGACTGATGTAAAGAGATTGATCTTCCAATTAGGATCGGTTCCTGGTGCCCTTCTATCTGAATACTATTCAGCAAATCTTTCTACTGAACGACTTGCTGGACCTTCTATAACTGGTGTGCCAGTGTCCATTGACCCACCTGTCATTACCTCAAATTGCACTCCCTCATTAACTAATGGCTCCAATCAGCAAAGTAATTCATCTCTTACTTCCAGGCCTTTTGTTCAAACGCCTTGCCCTTTAAATGCAGAGACAAATACCTGCCAGGGGTCTGCACTGACACCCCAAACCTGTAAACTTAACCAGATATCTAGCAACCATTGCCAACCAACGGTTATTCCAATGAGTAAAACAAACATCTATGGTCAACAAGAGAATAGGGTGATGGAGGCTGAAGTGATAACCTCAGATCTTGATTCCTGCCTGCAGCAACATTCTGTTTCATATAATGCAAGATCTGTATTCAATAACATGACTGGTTCTGGGTCTTTTGGTCAATCTTGTCAAAATGATGATAACCTAACATTAATGGAGCAAAAAATCATATCAGCCATTGGGAATCAAGATAATGTTAATCCATGTTTAAGTGTGTCAAGAACCTTAAACATACCTAATCTAAAAATAGATGGAGGCCGCATATTTGGCCACGGTATGAGGTCTAGCAGTGCTTCTTCTCTAGGAGGAATCCCAACGCATGCTGGGATTAGTGCCCTTTTGAGGTCAAATCTAATTACTAGTTCTGGTTCAAAATCTCCCAAAGCATCCACGGCTGATTTATCTGGACTGGAAGTTGGGATTGGGCTCCAAAATTGTGATTCTTCAACTAAAACTAGGGGTTGTTCTTTGGCTAAATCGACTAGTCAATCTGGCACTTTTCCCATGCATGCAGAACGTTCTAATCAGAACATCCTCCCTGTAGATTTAAAGTGTGTTTCACAAAATCAGAAGATAGACTATGATTTGCTTCAGGTCCCTAACCTCCCCACTTTTCATGTCGACGAACGAGTGCCCATTAGTGGTCAAATCCCTGGTTCTGCCCATGATTGCCTTAGTAAAGATGGTACTAGTCAATCTATGATGATAATGAATTCTAAACTCAAACTAGATTGTGCTAAACCTCCATCAGGGGATGATCTGTTTGATGTTTTAGGGGTGGATTTCAAAAACAAATTGCTGAACGGAAACTGGAATAAACACTTTGCTGATGAATTTGATGCAAAAACAGAACATATGGACAAAAAGTTAGCACCTATGAATATGCAGGGGACAACTACAAATCCTGATATTTATTCAGTTAAAGAAGCAATATCAGACAGTGGCATATTCTCTGGAACGGGAACAGACCACCTCTTGGATGCAGTGGTCTCCAAAGCCAAATCTGTTGTAAAACAGGATTCTGATGACATGTCTTGCAGGACAACATTGACAAGGAATAGTACTTCCTCTGTTCCCTCTCCTACTTGCAGAACGGTTATGTCCAGTCATTTCCAAGGGGGATTGTTTGATTTTCCTAAGAATGGTAGTAAAACAGGTGCCACTGAGGCTAGTTTTCTTAGCTCCAGAGGTAACAAGGAAGAGGCTGGAAACTGTTCTCAAACTAGTTCTGTTTATGGCTCTCAACTTAGTTCATGGGTTGAGAATAGTGGGAGTGTTAAACGCGAGAATAGTGTTTCAACCGGATACTCAAAGAGACCAGATGAGGCTTGCAAACCAAATCGCAAAAGGCTTAAACCAGGAGAGAATCCTAGGCCTCGCCCGAAAGATCGTCAAATGATTCAAGATCGAGTGAAAGAATTACGAGAAATTGTGCCAAACGGAGCAAAAGTATTTCTCTTTCCTTATACTTCATTCAAATTTTTTTAGTAATTTGAATATATTGCTCAGGTACTGTTTTTTTTTTTTTTTCCCTTCTCAAATCTCTTTCTGTGACTAACAGTGTAGCATAGATGCACTTTTGGAACGGACCATTAAGCACATGCTTTTCTTGCAAACTGTGACAAAGCATGCTGAGAAGCTGAAACAAACAGGGGAGTCTAAGGTATATGACAGTATTCACTCCTTTGCCATTTCTACCTTAGGCAGTTGATCTAGTTATTATATAAGGTACCGTGTTATTTTGCGGGAAACAATAAATAGAGAGAGAAAAATGTTTTTTAGCATTTTGAGAAGTCAAATGTCAGCTAAAAACCCTTTATACAAATAAAGTTCGGAGAGCATGGATTATTCAATGAGGCACTACAAATATGAATTTGATTTGATTTGAGGAATTATTAATAATGAAAAAATGATGATTCTTTCTTCCTTAAAAATGCAGATTATCCATAAGGAAGGTGGGCTGGTTTTGAAAGACAACTTTGAGGGAGGAGCTACATGGGCATATGAAGTTGGCTCACAATCAATGGTTTGTCCTATTGTAGTGGAGGACCTGAACCCTCCTCGACAGATGCTAGTGGAGGTAGTGGTGGTTTTTGAAGTTCTTTTGGTCCTAACATAATATATTTCATCATCACCTTTATAATATGTTTGCTTGGTTAATTACAGATGCTTTGTGAGGAACGAGGTTTCTTTTTGGAAATAGCCGACTTAATCAGAGGATTGGGTTTAACCATATTGAAAGGGGTAATGGAAGCTCACAATGACAAAATCTGGGCACGCTTTGCTGTTGAGGTAATACTCCAGAAAGAGACATTTTTTCTATCATGAGTTCATAAGTAGAGAATGAATTCCCAAGTAATATGTCCCAGTACCTTGCTTTCTGTTTGTAACTTCCATCACCTAAACGTTTTTTCAGCATAGTTAGTGACTACAGGGGCCCCAAAGTCCTGTATTTAGTTTGTGCATCTGAATAGATAATATTTCTAGCTGGCATTTTTTCACTAGTATAGGAATGTAGGATACCTACTCTTGGTATGCATATTTTCAGTGCTTGTTTGATTCTGTTTAGTTTGAGGAAATAAATGCTTGATTTTGTCAGCTTCCCAAGAGAGCTTTTGAAAAGTAAGAGATTATATCCTTTTGGTAAAGCTTTAAAAGAGAAGTTGTTTGATAGCTTTCGCTTAAAAGTTACTTTATCTATTAAAAGCTTTGATTAATTGCTTCACATTGATTAGTTCAAGATGAGAGAGGGAGAGAAAGGAAAAAAGAATGTAACTTATTTTTAAAACCCACTTCGGATAGCCTTTTTTTATTTATTTGAAGTTACTTCTTGACCACTCTTCCTCATTTTCTGAACGTGTCTGGTTCAACTTTTTCTCTTGAAAGAAAAGAAACCCCCAAAAAAGCTGGGTCTCTAGTACCACACAAATAACTCTTATATAAGAAATGGGCATCTTGCTTTCCCGTTGTTTGATGCTAGAATGTATCAAATACCAGTATAATATCATTGTGACAAACCAAATACGATCGTAAGGTGTCTATACTATGTAGTGACTGTGTTCATGTAGAGAAACCAAGTAGTTACGAGGATAAAAAAAAACTGCAGGTTGCTTTGCTGATGTATGTTACTGGAGACTTGGTTTACAGCCTTGAATAATAACATTTAGTGCTCCATCTGAGCTGGGAAAAATTTAGATGCCGCAGGAGAGACTGCATGTTTTTTTGTTTGTTGTTTGTGATGTTATCTCACTTTCAAGGCAAAGATCATCAACATGAGAACAAGGAACTAAATGTAGTTATTAATTCAATTTGCAGGCAAACAGGGACGTGACAAGGATGGAAATATTCATGTCACTCGTTCGTCTTTTGGAGCAAACGGTGAAAGGAAATGCATCTTCATCCAATGCTATTGATAACATCTATCACACTTTTCCACAGGCTACTCAGATACCAGCAACTGGAAGGCCTAGTAGTTTGCAATGAACCCACCTGTTACATGTTTTCTTAGTGTGGATGTGTTGAGAGCAAGCCCAGAATGTGCTTGCCATGACTGACATCAAATCCAATCTGAGATTTCAGGTGGACGTAACTTTGTCTAACTGTTTTACATCTCATATCTGAACTCATTTTGAAAAGGAGTGTGTAGTTTAGTGGAGAAGATGTCAAGAGAAAATGTATTCCCATGTTGTAACAGAATGTTTCGTTCTGTGCCTGCCAACATAATGTATACTGTGTTGGCATTGTCTACTGATATGTTACTGAACTCTCAGATAACTTGCATCCATTTTTTTTTTCTTTTTGTGTGGGGTTAATACCGAAGCAGGTGGTCTTGTGATTCGGATAAGATGTATAGTTATTGTACTATATGGAGAGAAGGGTCTCTTGTGCTCAATAGGTTGCTACACACTTTCTTCTTTACCCTTTTGAAAGTTTTATAACATGTTTTATAAATCATAACTATATACATTGTGTGGATTTGAAAGTTTTGTACCATGCCATATATTATAAGTTCTGCTCGTGGATTGTATGTTAGTGCAAAGATGGTTAGGGGCAGTGGATTTTTCTGTTGTTTATTTCAAGTTGGTTCAAATGGAAGGAGGTTTCGATATTTTAATTAAAAGCTTGAATTTGGATATAAATAATGATTAAAATATAAAATAATATGATATTTCTGGAATTCACATCTTCACATGTAAAGTGATAATGAATTTTAATACATTTTGTGAAATGTAGGATTTGTAGTATAGATTGCAATGATCTATACTATGCTTTCAATTAAGAATTTGCTCACAATGGTTTGGTTTCTAGATTTTTAGGATGAAAATGAATGTTCAAGAAAGACATAGAAACCAAAGATAGAGTAGTCTAAGTATGATTGCTGACTTGAAGTTAAGAATACAATTTTTGATAAAGAATTGTTGCAATCAACGTCATAATGAGACTATGTAAATATTAATTTAAAAGAAAAATTGAATTTGAGAATCGGTTATAAGTAAAAAATGTATTAATATCTTCACGTATTTGTTCTAAAATATTATCATTTTTAATTAAATATAAAAAAATTAAATATAATAAAAATTATTTATTTTATTTTAAAATTAATTAAAATAATATCTTATTATATATAATTTTATTAAAATTAAGTATTATTATTATTTAAATAAAAGATAATATATTTTTAATTATTTTTTATTTGATAAAATTGATCTCTTTACTCTTATGTATGTCTAATAATAATAAGAATCAAAATTATATAATTCTTTGATAGAAAATTATTTATAAATAATAAATTTTAATTTAATTTTAAGTTTGATTTAATTATTTATTATAATAACATTATACCAAATTTTTGTTAATTTTATAAATAACCAAATTAATAATACACCAATTTTTTTAAATAATTAAATTAAAAATACATTAAAATGGTTTTAATTAATTAAAAATATTATTATTTTTATTATTATATGTTGTCTTTTACGTGTTGTAAAATAATTTAGAGTTTTGTATTTTTTTTATCAATTTTAATATTATTTATTTATTTATTATTATTTTTAATTTATATGAAATCAAACCGAAAATATATTCAAATTGATTACGATATTTTTAGTTGTAATTATTAGATTATAAGTATATTTAAAGTAATTATTATTATCATTATTATTAAAATTATAAATATATTTTACACTACAAAATTATTTTATTATTAAATGTTATAAAAATTTAATTAAGATGAATATTATTTATTTATAATATCATACATGTCTAACAAAATATTAAAATATTAAAAATAAAAATGTCTTATAAATTTAAATATTTACTTAATTATTATTATATCATTATTTCACTAACAATATTTTTCAATTGATAAAAATACAATAAATGGATTAACTTATAATTATAATTTTGCAGATCTAAAATTTAATTAATAATATATTATAAAACAATTTGTTTTTTTTTTTGTAATACTAAGATACTAAATTTTTAAAAAATTGAAGTTTTTTTAGTATAGGAAGATATCTTATATGAATTTCGAAAATGAAATTGTAGTAAATCGTTGCCGCAAAGAGTTTCTTACAATTTTTTTCCCTGCTTTGGACAACGCCATTGACGGTGGTGGGGGGATGAGGTATTGTTGGAGAAAGTGGAGGAGAGCAGGACGATATGGTGGACCTGCCCCTAGTGGATTGGATTATGATTGAGATTTGAGGGCTTGGATCTGATTTTGAAATGGGGTGGTGATGTCCGAGCCACCTTCACATGTACTAATAAAACTACAAAATATATCATTAACCTTTTACTCAATATGGGATCTTTATTCGCCTTAACAAACTACGGATTTTATATATTAGTTATAATTTCTCCAAATTTATAATGTATTTTTTTATATATTTATGTAGGAGTTAATGACATAACAAGGTAAATTTAATAATGTTACAATAAATAAAAAAAAGGAAGTAAAATATTGATCAGAACAACCAACAAGACAAAAACACTCCCTCGTCCTCACTTAACAAGCTACCATAAAATAGGGTAAGTTTTGTACGAGCGAAAGTATAAAAAATAGAACCTAATTCTTTAGATATTTTTCTTCAAACGAAAGTTACTTTCTTTAACGATAAAGACCTTTCTTTTACATGAAACATTTATCTTGTTTGAGTAAAAACTTTCTCTTGAATGAAATTATGTAAATCCATAAATAGCTAGATGATAGATTCTAAAGAGGATATATATATAAAAGAAAGAAAAAAAGAAGAAGCAAAGATCAATGGAAAGATTTTTAGCGGTTAATATTGAATAACAACTTTTTTTAATTTTTTTTTAATTTTGTATAAGAAGTCACAATTAAAATAAACAAATAAAAAATAAAAATAAAAATAATAATAATAATAGACAATAATAAAAATTTATTATTATAAAAAATTATAATACTTTTTTAAAATTATTATATAAAAAATTACAATATTTTTTTTAAATCTAAGAAAATAATAATAATAATAAAATTCAACTATTATATAATATATTAATAAAAAGAGAAGACATGATTTATAAAATAAATACTAACCTATTTTTATAAAAAAAATAAATACTAATATATAATTTTCACTAGTACGAAACTTTTACTCTTCTCCTCTTGGATACTTTTGATTTATTATATTCAACATTAATAATTTTATTTTATGATTTGATCCTTCATCTCATATTTGATTTCATCTTTGATATTTGATTTGATTTTGTTTTTAATGTTATACAGATGTGATTACAAAATTTGATTTGATTTTGTTTTTAAGGTTAAAGTGATTTAATTATTTATCTTTAATATTTGATTTAAATTTAAATTAAAAAAAATTCTAAATCTAATTTAAATCATATCATCTAATAACTTTAAATATTAAGAATAATTTATTAATTGAATCACCTAATATATTTAACCTTATTAATTGAATATTTTTGAACTTAAGGAAAGATTATAATTTTATAGTTTAAGGTGTTAAGGTTTGACTGTAAAATTTTTACAAATTATAAATAAAAAATGCTATAGAATGATCTTTTTATACCTCAAATATAACATTGAGTAATTAAAGAATATTATAAGAAAAATTGATGATATGATGGATAAAATTCATAAATAATTATAAAACTTCGTTAATAAATATATATTGGCAGATAAAAATCCATCAATAATTACATTATTAACAAAATTTATTGTTGAGTTTATTTTTTTATAAATAATTATTGATAAATATATCCATTAAAATAAATTATAACTAATTATATGATGACGGAAAGACATAGTCTATATATCAATTATGAGTATAATTGATATAATATTTATTGATGAATTTATCTGATAAATTTACTCCTATTTCCTACACCATTATAAGATAACCTAACCTACCCATATTTCCTACCATCATTACCACATAACCTTACCTAATCTAACCTGTGTAACATTGTAACTCAAATTTAAATTTAATTCAACAATCAAATTCAATTATACAGTTTAATGAAAATCTAACTAAAATGAATCATAATTTATTATGGGACAGAAAGTATATTGCTAACATTAAAATTAAAGTCTCGTTAATGTAACTTGCAAGATCCATTAAAAAATACAATAATTACATTTTTTTTACATTTTGTGATAGATTTAAGTATTTTAATATAAGAAAAAAATATTATAATTAAATTTTATAAATAAATAAGATCATGATTAATCATAACACTCTCATTATTTTTATTTTCATATTTTGTTTTGATTTATAAGAGACAAGATAATAAAACACCAAATAAGTAGGTAAACAACTTGTAACCTAATGAATATGAGACTTGTTATATATGTATGTATACTAAAAGTCTCTTACAATGTCTAAATTCAGCATTTTTAGAGTTGACAAAATAGTACATAAACAAAAAATATTGTCCGTACACATTTATAAAGAGTGAAGAAACATTTCAAAAAACTTAAAAAACTGAATATACCATATAGAATTGAAGCACTTTAACTTGGTCATGACAGTTACAACATAGTCTCTAGCATAAATTCTACCAAATTGATCTCTTCTCCATTTTAGTGAGTGCAATATTTGCTTCTTCATACTTTTCCAACTAAAATAAGAAGTTGCAATACAAAAACTAATTAGTCAATGTATAACACAATAAACTAATGATAATTTTAAATGCATCCGGTTGTAAAAATAAATAAAGATGCAGTAGCAGTTAGCACAACAATTAAACTAAAGTAGTATATAATTCTAGTACTAAATGGTATATGTATATAACAAGCAAAGACAGAAGAAAAGGAAAACTAGTCATGTATATTTCAACTATGCTACAAATAATAGATACCCTCAAATGCTTGTCTTTAAAGGACGATTTAGGTGCCATGAGGTTAAAGGGCTCCGTAACACATACAACAATCAGAAGTCTAACTTTCTTATTTGCATGATGAAGCAGACCACCACAAATCACAACATTTGCCAGGG